TGTATATATATATATATATATATATATATATATAAATATATGTAGGGTAATGGTGGGAAAGTCAGAAGGAAATAGACCACTGGGACGACCAAGATGTAGGTGGCTGGAAAATATTAAAGTTGATCTTAGAGAGATAGGATGAGATGGATTGGATTGATCTGGCTCAGGATAGAGACCAGTGGAGGGCTCTTGTGAACATGGTAATGAACCTTCGGGTTCCATAAAATTCTTGAAAGGTCTTGAATAGCTGCACAATTGGCAGGTTCTCAAGAAGGGCTCAGCTCCATGAGTGAGTGAGTGAGTGAGTGAGTGAGTGAGTGAGTGAAGAAGATACATCCTAAATATACGTCGATAGCTGATTACATTAAATAAATGCATAATATGAAGGTTCTGGACATTTGTCTCTTTATTCTCATTCAAATTTCACCTCCGATACTGTCGATAGTTAGGCTTAATTTATTACTCAGAAGATTGCAGAAAAACTTGTCATGAAAATTAAACTTGTGTTTATGCTGGACCAAAGTGAACCTCAAACAAAGGAGATCACGTCAAATGTTATCGAATTTATCGAAAGTGGTTCGTGCTATAAAACGGAAAGATAACATAACATGTTTGCTTCATTATGACCTAAAAATTTTATTTGAAATAATTTTCTATATTGCAGGAATTTAATGAAATGAATGGGAAAATAATTTCTGCTCTTATCACTAGAATCTATACCAGACTTAGCTTGGCAACAGTAGAAACAAACCGCAAAAGTGGAACAGTGCAAACAACGGATTTAATGTTATACGTATTTACTCTAGTAGAGAACGCTGTTACAGAATTTAATTATGAAAGTTGTCAGAAAATTAACTGATCTGTGATTCCAGATATTATAATATATTTTAATTCATTCTAGAAAATATCTTTCTTCTAGAATAATTACGGTATAGATACCGAAATGTTATGATCCTTTCAGTTCAAGTCTGTACATATCTAGGCTATTTCTTTCCCACGCAGACCTTTCATACGTATAAGACATAGTCTTTTTCTTGCAACATATTTCCAAAGACACGGCACACCCATTCCATGAGCTAATTAACTACATTAGAGAATCCAAACAGGCATTAGTACTGCAAAGAATAAGTGTGCTCATCAACGTCCAGGTATCCTTGTGGCTGTTAAGTTACCGAGCCAGTCATCTCTCTGCACCCAAGCAAGTACTACACTGTGTGGAACCGCGATGGTGGCGCCAAATGGTACTAGAAATGAAGTGTCACCGCTGAAAAACAGGTCTTTAAGCTTTCTCCCTTAAAGCGCCAAGTAATGTGAGTTCCGCTATGCCTAAATTTCTTTCATCTGTCTTGCTATTTAAGTATCAGGAGATTTATAGAGTATGGAGTTACTTACCACACGCCTCAGAATATGGTCTGGCACGTTGCGGGAAGTATTGCACAGCGCTTGCGCAGAAGAATGTGAAAAGATGACTGGACTACGTGTGGTCTCGAGCACAGCGATAACAGTTTCGTGTGCTGCGTGAGACAGGTCCACCAATATCCCCAACCGGTTCATCTCTCGCACCACTACCTGGGAATATGTACACACACTTATATATATAAAGTCACCATAATTTATTCACCACATTACAAGCACACACAGAATATAGAGTATACGAGACACATCAGAATTGGTTTCATTTACTTAAAAGTACAACATATCGAGTTCAGTACTTCTCAATGTGTGCGTCATTTGTAGTTCGCAGTGCGTCCAACGGTACTCAGCTTCACGCCTTGGTTTCCCCAGCGCCTGGGATATCACAGCAGCCGCTGTATTGTTGTTTCGTGCACGAAGTTCAACCACACTACCAACTTCTGGACGGAATACCTGGTCCCTTGACCGCCTCTGTGGTCTAGTGGTCAAAGTTCTGTTTACATATCCAGAGGTCCGGGTTCGATTCCCGGCGCTACCAGATTTTTTTTAGAAATAGTGGGTCTGGAACGGGGACCACTCAGCCTCGTGAGGATAATGAAGAGCTATTTTGAAAGAAATAGCGGCTCCGGTCTAGAAACCCGAAATTAACGGCCGTAGGGATTCATTGCGCTGACCACGCGACACTCTGTATCTGCTAAATTTGGCACTAACTTTGCCGACAAGCGGCGGTGGCTCGGTCGGTATAGTTCGCTTGCTAACTAAAACCATGGAGTTGGTTTCCTTTTTGTTTGTAGCCACTTATGTTGGACAAGCTTCCATTTTGTAACACAATTGGCCACAGTCATAGGAGCCGAAGATTTTCGTCATTAGCTTCCTTAGGTAATCGTGTCTGCCACACTGAGATATAACTGCTTGTCAGTGGAAATGTACTCATAGCTCTCCATGCTTCCCCTAATACCAATATCGGAAAGGTAACTTCAGTAATAAATTGCGATATCTGTTGGTCACAATTTAAACCACTAGTCTGAAGTATAAGCCAATCTGCAGCTCTATTCCGTCCAAAATGTTCTTGACATAAGTTATAATCGCTTAGTTTTCTATTCATTTAACCGAAGGATGGAGGATATGAGTTTGTATTACTACCGAAAAAAAAATTGATGCCGCATTCTGTGAAGTATCCTTCTAGGAAGCAAAGTTTTTGCTAAGAAATAAGTTTCTTTTAAGTACAGTCTTCTCATAAAAATGATCTGTTTGTTGGAAAACAGAACCATCAAAGGGTTACGAAGAGAACTCTACATGCTGCATTAGTTTATTTGAAAGTTAATGAAGGTCACGCGTCCTTACCTTTCCGAACTCCGTGAGTCCCTCCCCTCTGGTGTTGCTCTCGGAGGCGGCTGCTGAGGATGAGTCTGCCCTACCGGAAAGCACGAGATTAGGACAGATATTTGCGTTACAACACAAGATAAGTCAAGTCACCTCTGCCTTACAGTAACTTATAAGAGAAAATGCGAACCAGATCACACGCCAAGACACTGTAACACAACCAGCACAAATTACAGGATTATCAACATTAATCTATAATTTCATGTATTAATAGATTAATTCCGATTATTTTATTTACTCCATTAATCGTTAATATTTCAAGAACTTGCTCAGTTACTTTCCATCTTTCCTAAAGTCTCGTAGTTTTGGGTATCATCTCATACTGTTGCATCCGTTCTTAAAAATACATATTCACATTACGTATTTGGGATTATGTACCTTCAGAATACCCACCATTAGTCTTCTCTCTAAAAATATGCGTAACATGTCACTTACAGTCTTAATATCATGCATCTTCTTGTGTGTTATACATAAGGTACATAAAATGTACACAAAAGTATGCAGTCTACACAACAATATATTGTATTTCAAACAAAGTAGACGCTATTGTATCAGCATTTGTCAATAAAAACAAATTCTGATACAATAGCGTCTACTTTGTTTTAAATACAGAATATTGTTGTGTAGACTGCATACATTTTACTATTTTACTTACTTTTATAAGTCACTTACGTAAAGAGTCGGAGATCATATGATCTGTATTTTATTTACAGGAATCTTGTGACTCTATTACTGTAACCATTATTACACTAGTAATATTTATAAGGGTACTGATTGTTTTATAACTATCCATATCTTAAATAATATTTAGTATTCTAAAAATGGAGTATCTCGCTTAGACACGCCGACATTTCCTTGCCCACTCTCACTGAGGGTCTCTGGCGTCTGATATTATTGACGAAAATAAAATCTGTGGCATATTATGAAAATTAAACGTAACTGCTACCAACTTTTGGCAAATAGAAATTTTAGACCACCAACTGTGTATATATACAGCCACACACAAAAACAAAATGAGAATTACCTATACTCAGCATGGAAGGGATTAAATGACATATGTCTTCATTTTATTCTGGCCTACATTTTCCGAACCCATGGTCCATGGACCACCAGTGGTCATCGAAAATATTTCCAGCGGCCTGTCTACATCTTCAAGGTCAAGTGACATCAACCTTGAACCTCACCCATCGCAATGTGTGCATATTAGTTGATTCAGCTTTTATTTAAGCAAATATAAACATGTAATTTTCATGGCAAAATTTTATATTACTTTTATTGCACAATTCATGGAGTGTACATTTGACTTAATTTTACTCTTATTACAATAAAAATTCCTAAAATGTTTTGTTGAATATCAAGGCGAACCGACAAAGAAAATCGAAGCACTAAGTCGTTCCTGATCCCCCCCCAAAATTAAATCACTGTTCTAGATAATCACATTTATGAAACACGAATCTCTCATCTACCATTAATTATTAATTTTCATTTGTGTGATATTTATCACTTAACATCTCTGCTGTGGACTCACCAAGGTGTGTGGCAGGTATGTGTAAGCGTAAGGGACCTCAACCCCAGATCATACATGGCTCGAAGCACACCTAAACTGGCTCCCAGAGAATGGCCTCCCTCAACCCCGAGAAGACTGGCTATTCTTCCAGCCCTATGAGCAGTTTCGATACCTGAAAATAATTGTACGATATTAAAGTTTGAATCAGATTATATGACAGGTTAATATCTACCTTGGAGGGTAAATAACCAGGAACACAAAGATCCCCCTTCACTTTTCTATAGTATTGTCGCGTATTGGGCGTATATCGCGACAAATAACTTCACGCCGTATTTGATGTAGCGAATTTTATTTCACATTCGCTCTTACAGTCACCAAAATTACAGATTTACGGTTACAGTAGAGTTCNCACTAAATGGTTCCTGATCCCCCCCAAAATAAATCACTATTCTAGACAATCACATTTATAAAACACGAATCTCTCATCTTCCATTAATTGTTCATTTTCATTTGTGTGATATTTATCACTTAACATCTCTGCTGTGGACTCACCAAGGTGTGTGGCAGGTATGTGTAAGCGTAAGGGACCTCAACCCCAGATCATACATGGCTCGAAGCACACCTAAACTGGCTCCCAGAGAATGGCCTCCCTCAACCCAGAGAAGACTGGCTATTCTTCCAGCCCTATGAGCAGTTTCGATACCTGAAAATAATTGTACGATATTAAAGTTTGAATCAGATTATATGACANTGACTCACCCGCCGCGTCACTGCTGGTGGGGGGGGTTCTCCTTTGCGCAACATGTCACAGTATGTTGCCGAGTTTAAAAATAAATGGAGCTTTAAACTGACGTCCTCTCAGCGGGCAGCGTAGTCATTGAGAAAGTGTGTAATTATTATATCTACATATCGTTAAAGCAGTAGAGAAGTATCGTTGCTGTAGTTGAGAGGCAAATAGTACATCCCTCCGCGGTCCTCGTGCCCACTTACTGACAAGTCAGAAATACAGCCACGGAAATCGACCTCTGAAAATAAGCTGCTCCATCCGTTTTCCTTTAACAGCAGAGGCATAAAATTGTCTCTGATTTCAACCCTAGTCTCTCTCCATCCTGCGGTTCCTTTTCCAAGGCGATTTCCGATCATATCCAATCTCATCTTTTCGTCGCTATCTCTGGTTTGTTCTTTTTATTTCTACGTTCTTTAATCTGTCTTTGTTGTTCCGTTTCTTTCACGCTCTGTTGCTATCTTCTTTGAGGCATGGGCTTATTAGAGAGACTTGCTCGCACCCCATTGCACTATCTCAGAGTTCAGCCTACACTCCTGGTACAAAAGTGGACCAACAGCTCTGAAAAAAATGCAACAAAATGCTGATCCAGGCTGTCTTAAGTTTACATAAATAGAAAGAATTAATTTTAATAAATAATTCCAGAAACATCGGAAAGTTGGAAGTCAAAGAAATCCCCTCCCATGTTAAGTACGTATATCGTTATTGTGTTCATAAAGCTTACCACTGAAACATATCCTGAGCCAGATGAATCCCGCACGTTCCCCTTTTATGCAATATGTGAATGGTACATGTTTATATTATTCCCTACTACAACGCCTATCCCTCCAGAGTGATCTCTAGGCTTTTTTAATAAAATTAGGAAAGTTCTCATCCATCCCATGCGTGATACATGTCCCACCCATCTTATCTTCCTTAACAATACCTATATGATTAGAAAAACAAATTTGAATCTCCTAATTACGCACTTTCTTTCTGTGCTCCCGTTAAATTGTAACTTAGGTCCAAATATTCTCCTCAGTATCTCAAATGCCCTCGATCTGCGTCAAAGTTGCACACCATATTGTAACAGGCTTGATCAACTCGTTGCCAGGCAACAGTACAATGTAAACTGTGTTTCTTATGAGGTCCGCGCCGAACAAACGTACGGAGATATAGGAAGTCTTTTGCCAGGCAAAGCAGCGGCAAACATGCAGGGGAGACGGTGTTTTCCGTTGATCCGTGCAAAGGAGTTATCTTAAAAAAAAAACGACGCAACGATTCAGTTCTGAGTTCTCGTCATAGAAGATAGCCACTGAAAATCGTCGACCTGTGAAGACTTAAAGTGCAGTTAGAAGGCTTCGCTCATGTGTAATGTTTGGAGTGCGTGATTCAGCGAGACTGTTACAGTTCCGGCGGTTTCGTTGTACCGGGAGAGGACCAGTGTGTGTGTGTGTGTGTGAGCGAGAGCGAGAGCGAGAGCGAGAGCGAGTGTGAGTGTGAGTGTGAGTGTGAGTGTGAGCGTGAGCGTGAGCGTGAGCGTGAGTGTGAGTGTGAGAGCGCGCGCGCTTGTGTAAATCTGCGATGGCGCTGTATTTAAATGTGATTAACAGAGACTGTAACCAAAGTGCTAATAAATCCAATCATCCGAAATAGCACCCGTCATTTTCGTCGCGCGTACCCCCTATACATGAATTCCGAGGTAGTAATTGCATACAGTTTATACCTAACCTCCAAATTCTTACCTACTTACAGTGTACACGTACAGTCATCTTCCCATCCATTTCTACACCGTATAACTCAACAGTTGGAAAGAAATTTTTAAATAACTTATGAATGAATGGATTTATCAGCAGGTTCGTGGTATGTATGCTGATAAGTCTGGTCAACCCACCCGAAATTAATCGTTCGGTTTAATGACTCCTTACCAAAGTGAGTTACATACATTTCTAATTAAGTGGATCGAGTTATGTTCTTTTGGAGTGAATTTACACGTTTCGGAATGTTATCTGATTTGAATTAGCATTGGAGTCAGGACGAGTGAAATTAAACGCTGAAGCAGTGAGGTTTGTTCCTTGCTGTGACCATCAGCGCGTGCGCGGTGACTAGAAGGCCAAGAGTTATAAAACGTATGTATTTACGATCTTCTGTGCGCTAACACTGACATTTATTGCTAATATTGTATAAATTTATATGTTATGGGAGATATATCTCTGCTGGATCAGTACAATGAAGTGGACCAGAGCTTCTTTTGACTCCATGTTTCTGACCCTTATGTTCGTAAGCAGAGGAACCGTCCAAAAAAGCACCAAAATTTTCCTTCTTCAAGTCCCGATAAGGTCATTGGATTTTTTAATTGGCCTAATCATTCCAGCCGCACAATAGCCTTGGGGTCGACTCAGCCTCTAACAGAAATGAGTACCAGGAATATTCCTATAGGGTAAAGGGCGGCCGGTGCACAGGGCTGACAACCTTGACGCCATCTATGAGCTGACTGTCTAGAAAAGTAAGAACCTCAACATCTCACAACTCTATGGGTCTACACGGCCTGTTACAGGGATAGTTTTTTTTATTGCTAGTGGGGTGGGACTAAGTCCCTTGTACTGCGGCCACTTCTGGCCTAATGTACCAGCCCAAGATGAGAGGTGAGGGTGATTGTGGAGCAATTGGTGGAATGAAGATTGGCAGGGAAAACCGAAGTACTCGGAGAAAACCTGCCCCAGCGCCACTTTGTCCACCACAAATCCCACTTGACCAGACCCGGGATCGAACCCGGGCCGCAGCGATGGGAAGCCAGCGTCTAACCGCTTGAGCTAAATCGCGGCCGTTACAGGGATACCTTTACTTTTGTTTTACTTTTTATATATAATTTTTACTTTAATATCTTATTTCAAGCCTTCCTTCTCTTCCCCTATTTAATATTATCTTTCTCAGTTATTGTTTTATTTTGATTTAGGTAGCGACTCTCTTTCCACTGTACCCGGGACCTCTGGATCTGTCCGAATCCAATATATAAATATATTTACATATTTTTATAGATTAGTGATAAAAAGATAAAATTGTTTCTGTCTACACTAAAGTTATTGCATAAATTATTTTCGGCTCATATTGATAACTAAAATATGACTCATACTTTACATTTCCTGAAGAACAGCTTCTCATATAAGAATTTGGCACATCAAGTTAACACCGCTCTTTTCCAACCCGCCTTTTTTATATCAGCTCAGTGGGAATGGCGCTATCCCTGCTACACCTGTTTCTACCTTAGGGCAGTGCATGATGGCCACTGCAAGTTGTCCTCACAGATCGGTATAGGTGCGGGGAAACTGGCTGGGTCGGTTAGCATGGGACTCAGGGTAGCGGTATTCTGGGAGTTGATCCAACTTAATGTTTATTCACTTATTGTTCTCCAAACCGCACTGTTAATTTAATGTATTCTTATGCTTTAAATTATAACATGTTACTCGATCTGCAGGCTATGTCTAGGAGCGCGCAAGGGTCACGTCCGTACACTTCAGAATTGGGTGAAAGACTCCTTTGTGGAATGGCTTGCACCCCCCAGGCTGGGAATGCGAAAGAATTCGAATTCTTCATGGTGCGGACATATACATGTCATTCCATCTTCCGTAGGGAAGTTTGAAAGAGGCAACTCAATCATAATGGCCCTCATTCACAGGCAATTGTAACGAGTTTTGACCTGTCCTTCTCATTGACTTTTGCAGGCGCGTCCGGTATCCTGTACCCGAGCTAAATTTATGACTGCTCGTAAATGTCAGAACTCCGGACTCCTTGGTCCTGCCAGAATCTAGAAATTTCAACATAAACACCGCATTGCACGTCCCAGACAATGAAATACGATATTATAGATATCAATAAAGTTCTATTAATATCGAAATATAAGACTTTTGCATTTAAAATTACCGAGAATAAATTAGAAATAAATTTCATGGTCATTTATAATCATCCAAATAAATAAGGGCTAAGACTGATCAGCGTCAAAGTGTATGTAAATTATGTATCACTTTTCAAGCTCTATAATGTATATGTGAAGTACGTTTCAATAGAATGAACACTGAAAAGGGCAAAAAGCATTTCCTGCCTCTTTTGTAATGTTAAGGCTTTTATGCAGCTCTGCAGCAGTAGGCGTGCCCGTACATCTGCGACAAATGGCATTAAGACCAATGAGGTATGCAAAAAATAAACTTCAGAACATAATATGTGCCTTGAATTTGAGTGCAGGTTTCCAGGCTTGCTGGAAATGATCTCAGAAGTGGGATGCTTTCCATTTACGAGCATGAGATCTTTATTTCCGACGTTAATGGAGTCCATGGCAGAAAGTTCATGAATTGTGGATGAAAGGCCGAATCTGTTGTTGGCAGGCTGATCGGAAACGGCAAACTCTATCTGAA